CTCGATCCCAGGACCCTGGGATCATGACCTGAGCCGAAGGCAGACGCTTAATGACTGAGCCACCCAGGCGCCCGGAAAATTTTTTTTTTAAAGATTTTATTTATTTATTTGACAGAGAGAGACAGCGAGAGAGGGAACACAAGCAGGGGGAGTGGTAGAGGGAGAAGCAGGCTTTCCCGCTGAGCAGGGAGCCCAACGCGGGGCTCAATCCTACGACCAGGATCATGACCTGAGCCGAAGGCAGACGCTTAATGACTGAGCCACCCAGGCACCCCCTGTTAGGATAATTTTTAAGGATTTTTCTGTTAATGGAATGATGGCCACTTTTTCCAAGAATATGGCCATTTTATTTGTTTATTTTGAATTTTTGTTCATTTTTTAAATTTAACTAGAATATGGCAATTTTATTGAAAATATATTTTATTCATTCTGAAACTGGAACTCCTTTTTTTTAATACTAAAATTTGGCTTTTTGACAATACATTCTTCTGGCAGAAATATTTAGATATCTTGTTCTTTGAATGGAATATATATAGTCAAGACATTAATATTAGGACTATCATTGGGACTATTTTTGTCTCCTTTGTTTGAAAACACAATAGTATATTTTCTGCTAGGTATAAGATAGTTCCTTTTTTCCTTAAAAATAATTATTTATCTGAAATGTTTTAATTTGATGTAGATGGAGTTACCTACTTGCTTATAGTATCTACGTTTAGTTTATGACTATAGCTGAGTGAAGAGTGAGGAGCCAAAGGAATTAGTGGCAGGTCAGGTACAAGGACCAGCTGAAGCTGGGTACAAAGATATCTCCTAGATGAAGTCATTTTCATCTCATCTCTAGAATATTACTGTAGCCTCCCACGGAGCCCCTCTGGCCTCACACTCCACTTCTCTGGATGACTCCACAGTTTGCCAGATTAAATCAATGCATTATTAAGAGCATGGTGAAAAGCAGAGGCTCTGGAGGTCAGCATACTCTGGAGGTCACCACACCCCAGCATGCAGTTATGTGAATTAGTAAACCTTTCCATCCCTCAGTTTCCTTAATGATTGGATAATAACTCCTGCAAGTCCGTTTTGAGATTATGTGAGAGTTATTTAGCACAGTGCCTGGCAAATTATAACCCCCTCAATAAGTGGTAATTATTAGTCCTCCTTAAATAAAAGAGAGAGGACAGGCTAGTTAGGATTAAATGTTTCTGTCACTAATTTTTATGTTCACATAGTTACATACCACGCTTAACAGCAACATAGTTCGCATTCTAGACCCAAAACAAGAGACCTCAAGTCTCTTTTGTTCATGGTGGCTCCACAAAGCTCTCAAAAAGGAGTGCTTGAAGAAATTCGGCTCTTTTTTGAAACTGCTGTGCCACAGGGAGTCAGAGTAGCTGAGACCATGGAGGCAAGGACTAGCATGCCCTCTTACTGTCACGGCCTGTACTCTTAGCGGTGAGTAATGTTCATAGGACTCTTATATGGAAGCTAGATTTGATTGGAAGGACTGCATTCAGAGATTGGTTACATCAACTTTGTGTTTCTAAAATCTATACTTTATTCACCTATGTGTTTGTCTATTTCTGGGTTTGAAATTTCACTTGAAGTTTCATGGTATTTCTACTTTCTTAGAAGTGATGCTGAAGGAGGTTTCTTTTTGGCAAAAAATGCTGCTCTCCTAAGTCTGTTTATCATACTGTTAATTGTCAGTATGACTCAGTATATATTTACATATTTTAATGATTTCTACACATCTATCTATTTCACTGACAGTGAATTCATGTCTTTTCCTTCCTTTTTCAGTCCTGCACAGATGAGAAGACACAAGTTAGGTGTCGGGCCCCAGCTTGGCTTCGGCGTCTATGTGGGCAGCTGCTCTCCGAAAGGTTGATGAGACCCAGCGGTGTTCAGGCAGTAGTCCGGGGCATTCTGGAAGGAGCAGGTGGTAAGAAATAAAATGTTTCTGTTACTTTGGTATCCAGTTTCCTTCGGGTCAGGGTCTTTAGCATTTGACTGTAAAACCTTATTGTGACTAATTTCTGCCTTTGTGGAGATTGTGGAGGTTAGATTTGGAGATGAAACCTTAATGAACTTCTTTTTCACAGAAACTCATTCTCTTGCCATTTTTCTAAAACAGTATTTTTTTTTTTTTTTAAAGATTTTATTTATTTGACAGAGAGAGTTACAGCGAGAGAGGGAACACAAGCAGGGGGAGTGGGAGAGGGAGAAGCAGGCTTCCCGCCGAGCAGGGAGCCCGATGCGGGGCTCGATCCCAGGACCCTGGGATCATGACCTGAGCCGAAGGCAGACGCTTAACGACTGAGCCACCCAGGCGCCCCAAACAGTATTTTTTTCTAAAACTGCTTACACGGCACCTGGGTGGCTCAGATGGTTAAGTGTCTGCCTTCAGCTCAGGTCACGATATCCGGGTCCTGGGATCGAGCCCCAGCACTAATTCTCTCCCAGTTGTTTAAGTCTCCTTTCAATGTATTTGAATACACTCAATATTCTATTGATTTGATCTTCTTGGAGACATCTCTCCCTGAGTCTTCTCTAATCTGGACTAGTTATCTCTTGCACAGCAGACCTCCTGGGATCTCCCTTCACCTTTATTTTTTTATTTTTATTTATTTATTCACTTTTAAAGATTTTATTTATTTATTTGACGGAGAGAGACACAGCGAGGGAGGGAACACAAGCAGGGGGAGTGGGAGAGGGAGAAGCAGGCTTCCCGCCGAGCAGGGAGCCCATGCGGGGCTCGATCCCAGGACCCTTGGATCATGACCTGAGCCGAAGGCAGATGCTTAAGGACCAAGCCACCCAGGCGCCCCTCCCTTCACCTTTAAATCCTGGTGATTCCTTTCCCTTTCTTTTGTGTTTAGTCCCTTATCTCCCATATCCCATGTACATTCATTTCCTCTTGCTCCTGTAACAGATTACCACACACTTAGTGGCTTTTTGATGGAAACGACATTTATACTGAGCCCTCAAGGCTGAGTAAGAATTTATTAGTTGAAGAGGGAGAGAAGACTGACTAACATAGGCAGAGAGAAGAGCATGTATGAAGGAACTGACACAGAAAAAGCATAGTGTTTTTGAATAAGGTTCAGTGTGGGTAGAGCAGTGAGGGCAGAGTGTGGTGTTCAGGATTTTGAACTTTATTCTAAGGGCAATGAGAAACCATTGGAAAGTTTTAAGAAGGAGAGAGGTATGATCAGATCTACATTTTAGAAATATCTATCTGGATGTATTGTGAAGAATTGGTTGGGTAAGAGCAGAAGGAAGGAGATCCGTTAAGAAGCAGTTATCGGAGAGATCACAATGGCTTGGATCAATGCAGTGGCCATAGAAATGGAGAGAAACGAATGACTGTAAGAGGTATTTAAGAGGTAGCATTGCCAGGGGCGCCTGGGTGGCTCAGTAGATTAGGCATCTGACTCTTGATTTTGGCACAGGTCATGGTCACGCGGTCATGGGATTGGGCCCCGGGTTGGGCTCAGCGCTCAGGGTGGAGTTTGCCTCAGATTCTTTCTCCCTCCCGCTCTGCCCCGACCCTTACTCGTGTGCTTGCCCGCACTCTCTCTCAACTAATTAATTAAGAAAAAAGGTAGCATTGTCAGAAATTAATGAAGGGCTGGGTATGTGGAGAGGAAAGAGGAGAGACAGAAGAATCAATCTTGACTTCCCATTTCTAGTGGCAAATGTACCTTGGTCCTGTCAGACAAAGGTGAGGTCAGTGTGGTAGGCAGACATTGATAGATTTGGTCTAGAGTGACTGCAGTGTTGCCTCCCCAGTTCTGACAAATTACCAGTTATCTGAGAGAAGTTGCCATGTGCAAATAGGTCCTTGCAAATCTTTTTCTGAAGAAAAGTTAGAGTTCACCCAAGGTCATGCATATTGGAGAGCTGCTATAAACACTTAGAGCCCTATTTTTGCTATGAGCTTTTTCTCCCTCTACTTATGCATGCATATATTTTTCTGTTATCTATTTAAATCTTGTTTCTTCTCAAAACTGATTTGAGGCAATTTATATTTACTCACACATTTGCCATTTCTGGTGTTCTTCATTTCTTTGTGTAGATCCAAATTTTAATTCAAATTTCCTTCTGCCTGAAGAACTTTAGCATTTCTTATAGTGCAGGTCTGCTGGCAGTGAATTCCTTTGGCTTTTATTTATCTGAAAAAGTCTTATTTCACCTTCCTTTTTGAAAATATTTTTGTTATCATTTTTGTCTTTGTTCCTCTGTATATGATATATCTTTTTTCCTCTGGTTGCTTTTAAGTTTTTTCTCCTTGTCAATGGTTTTTAGAAATTTGATAATGGTATGCCTTGGTATGGATGATTTTCTTCATGTTTCTTCTGCTTAATGTTTCTTGAGCTTGTTAGAGCTGAGAATTTATAGTTTTTGTCATATTTGGAAATTGCTCAGATATTGTCTTCAAATATTTTTTTCTGTCCTCTCTTCTCTCTCTTTTTAAAACTTTTTTTTTTTTTAAAGTAGAAGCCCCAATATGGGGCTCAAACTCAGGACCACCCAGATCAAGAGTCATGTGCTCCACCCACTGAGCCAGCGAGGTGCCCCTCTTCTTTCTTTTTGGAATTTGATGTACACCTAATATTATGCTTAATGTAGTCCTATAAGTTACTGATGCTCTATGTTTTTTTGTTTTGTTTTTCAGTCTTCTTTCTGTGTTTCATTTTGGGTAATTTCTATTGCTGTGTGTTCAGGTTTATTGATTTTTTCTTCTGCAGTATCTAATCTGCTGTTAATCCCATCCAGTGTATTTTTCATTACAGGTATTTTCTTTCTTTGAGTTTTTTTTTTTTTAAGACTTTATCTATTTATTTGACAGAGAGAGACACAGTGAGAGAGGGAACACAAACAGGGGGAATGGGAGAGGGAGAAGCAGGCTTCCTGCTGAGCAGGGAGCCCGATGTGGGGCTCGATCAAAGGACCCTGGGATCATGACCTGAGCTGAAGGCAGACGCTCAACGACTGAGCCACCCAGGCGCCCTAAGATTTTATTTATTTGAGAGAGAGAGAGCACACAATTGGGGGGTGGGCAAAGTGAGAGGGAGAAGCACACTCCCCACTGGGCAGGGAATCTGATGCAGGGCTCGACTCCAGGACCCTGGGATCATGACCTGAGCCAAAGACAGACGCTTAACTGACAGCCACCCAGGCCTCCCACAGATATTTTCTTTTTCATTAATAGAGGTTCCATATTGGTCTTTTTTGTATCTTCCATTTCTCTCATCATGATCATTCTTTACCTTCTCGAAAATAAGGAATAAATTTGTAAAACTGTTTTAGTGTCCTTGTTTCCGAATTTTGTTGTGTCTGTTTTAGTGGGTCTGTTTCTATGATTTTTCCTCAGGGTTATGGGTCATACTTTCTTGCTTCTTTGCATGCCTTGTAACTTTTTTTATTGAGGTATTACTCACATACCATAAATCCACTTTTTAAAAGAGTACAGGTCAGTGGTTTTTAGTATATTCACAAAGTTGTACAACCATCACCAAAATATAATTCCAAAACATCTGTATCATCCCACTCCCCCCAACTTATTAAACTTACGTTGATAATAACATTACAATGATTAAGTGCTCCTTTTCCCTCCAAACTTCCCAGAAACCAGCATGGAAATTGCAGAGGGGTTGATTATCTTATAAGAGAAGTAAATAATTACCAGTAGTGAAAAAACACTTTTTTGCCGAGATTTTAAGGATCACATGGGGTAACTGGTATGAGTTTTTCACATCTCTGTCCATCGCTGACAGCTGGGGCGGCTGGTGGGAGTGACGCCGAGGCAGCAGCTGCTGACTGGAAGAAGTGTGACCTGATTGCCAAGATTCTGGCCTCTTGTCCCCAGCAGTCTCTTTCAGCAGAGGATTACTACAGGGATATCTGCCCCCAGGTAAACAACTTTGTTTCTTTTCACTGTGTGAGGATTATCTGCTTATTCACAGAAAGGAGACTTTAATGTTTCTCTAATGGGGAGGTAAAAGCAACATAATATTTAAGTTTATTGTTCAGTGAGGGGCCCTGTTAATGAGTGAATAAACACCTGTGTATGAGACCCGCCTAATTGTTGGGTTTGAGAACGCCTCCCCATTGTCAAATGAGTGGTCTCGCTTGCTCTCGGAGCTGAAATGTGAAACTAAAATTTCATCTTGTTCATTATCTTTTCTGTGTGTTTTTAATTAGTTAAAAAAACAAAAGGTATTAAGTAAACAAAGTAAATTAACATGGTATACAATTTTTTTTTTAAAGATTTTATTTATTTATTTGAGAGAGAGAGAATGAGAGAGAGAGAGCACATGAGAGGGGATAGGGTCAGAGGACGAAGCAGACTCCCTGCCAAGCAGGGAGCCCAATGTGGGACTCGATCCCGGGACTCCAGGATCATGACCTGAGCCGAAGGCAGTCGCTTAACCAACT